ATTGAAGAAGTATATTATGATCACCTCAAGAATGCTAACAAGGTAAACACTGATTTTCAGATTCCTACGATTTGAATGCATAATTAAGTTGGAGAAAAGATGTTTTTTGAATTCAAAGCGATGTAGATTTGTTGTTCTGACATACAGATGGATATGATTCGAATGGTGTTGGAAAAGTAAATGTAGAAGTAATTAGTGCCACTGATCTTTTTGTGAAAAAAAAGCCACATTGAAGTGAGGAAATATTCTGGACATATTGTTTGGGGAGATCCTGCAGGACTCTTTGCTAGGGTTCTAAGAAGGAGTTACTGCCTAGTTCTGAGGAGGATCATGAGGAAGGATCTTCGCAGGGCTGGGAATCACAGCTACTATTTATTGAGCACCCGCGATCAGCCAGGTACCCTGCTAGAGCCTTACAGAGTAGCTGCCAAGAGGACTGACGAGCTCTCTGTGAGGTCTCTTGGGCAGCAAGGCCAGAAGGACAGTCAATCTTGAGAAAGGTGTTGGGTGCAGGGGTACAGTTTACACTAGAGCAAAAGTAATGCCTGCATAGATTTCTATAAATTGGAAGAAAAATTTCCTTTTAAGGATGAAGAAGCCCTCTGTGTTATTTAATGTTATAATTTCAAGATATTTGCTTTACATTCTTTTCCTTTTTTGATTTTTAGAGTCCCAATCCATTACTCACCTTTAGTGTCAAGACTCACGACAGAATCTACTATATGGTGGCCCCATCGCCGGAAGCCATGCGGATCTGGATGGATGTGATAGTTACTGGGGCCGAAGGTTACACTCACTTCTTGTTGTAGTGAACTGGCACAACAGTCCACTTCAGGGCAGACTGCAATAATCTCTTACAAGAATGAAGCCATATGCAATCCCAGGTGGAAAGGCCCAGCAGAGCCGTTCTTTTAAGTGTATATACTCAGAACTCCTTTCACGTTAACGGAAGTCATTTGTAACAGAAGAAGAAGGCGTTTTAAGTCAAAGCTTGACCAGAAGTAATTCAAAACTTGATCATAAATAGCAAAAGAATTGATGCACCTATGAGGAAAAAATCCCACTATTTTGGTAAATAGCGTCACTTATAGGGACATTTCTTATAATCTATTTTTTATCAATTGTTGATTTTGGTGAAATAAACTAGACAGTTTACAAAATGTCTGTATATGTACTTGGAAAATATGAAGTTATTTTAGCACCCGAATCATTGGCATTGACATTATTGGTAATCAACTGCCTGTTTTAAAAAGGGGCATTTTACTGAAGGTTATTTTATAAATATAAGCAAATAAGGGCTTGGAGGGGAATATATTTTAGGAGGAGTTTTGCCTAAATTTTTAAATACTGCACCAAAACCAAAGACTTGACATGACTTCTGTTTAACAGTAGTTTCAAGTGATGAACTTCAGTTACTGTTACTCTGCATTTTAAAATAATATTCTGATGCCCTCAAGTGCCCAGGACGTTGACTTTGAAGAGTCACCACCAGCATGAGCTACGTACATATATAGCAAACCACTTTTTGTAAAAGAAGAAAGAACAAAAAGCTGTGCGTTTTAGAAAGACGCAGTCTTGGAAAGACATTCTGTCACCTTGGGCAATTTTAAATAAAGAGAATAGTTAGTGTTAGGAGCTTGTTTTGCGGAAAATTTCTCCATTCCCAGTGCTGAGAGTAAAGGCAACTAGTGGTGGATTTCCTTTAGTTTCTCTGCTTTCTCGTGGTGGTGGAGCACACCTGTCCGTTGCAGCCTCACATGACATAACTGAAGTCGGAGCTCTGTTTTCACCAAAGAACAGACCAATTAAAATGCTTATTTACAGAAGTGGTGTAGTTCCATAAAAGGCAAATGAAGTTCAACTTAATGTTCTCTGTAATGTACTATTGTATTATGTATTTCTTTACAACCAGCCTTTGTTTTTTTAAGAGTTAAATTAATTTTTTGTTGAATGAAATGACTTCAGGCAAGTCTCTTTTATAACGGTTTTTCAAATACCATTTATCCTGGTTTGTCACATTGTGTGTGTTTGTAAATATGAATGAACTCTTTCCTAAAACTTGGCAAATGAATAGAAGTAGAAAATAATGACGTAACTTACTAGTACAAGGTGAAATGATTAGATTAGAAGAGTCTAGAAAATCTTTGTCAGGCCTGACCGGGTACAGTTGTTTTTTTAATTTGCAGTGTGGTTTGTATACATGTATGCGTGTTGCCAATAATAAGATTTTGCAACTGGATGACACATGATTTTACTTGAACAGTGAAGGACAAAATCATGATGGCAGAAGACATTTTTATAATCTGTTTTTTCAGAGATGACCCCTAAACCCTGTAACGACTTAAGAGCGAGAGATGCAATTGCTAAAATTTTGTTGGTTAATGTAAAGATATAACTTTTCTGTACTGAACTTTACTTTCTTCATAGGATTATAGATATTCTAATCAACTTTATATCTTGCATGATGTAGAAAACCTTTTAAATATGTATGTTAAAATGTTGAGTTTGGATTAAAATGTTGACAGATTTCACATTTGAAAATAAATTCATCTCTCATTAGGAAGTTACCTGTTGGTAACATGACAGGGGATGCATTAATCAGCAAAAATTTGATAGGAGAATCTACATAAAGGTTGTTGTGTGCTAACATTATGATTTGTAGTTCATAAACTGAAGTAATTAGAAGTCTCTCTGGTCACATTTCTGTTGCTTACAAAATGAAATTACCCCTGAGAAGCCTGACTTCTTATTCTCTTTTTGCACAGAGACAAATATTACCGGGGACTAGGGTTTGCTTATCCTTCTATCTGATAGGGAAAAACATCACTCAGGTGTGAAGTATCACTCTAGGGCTTTAGTTGGTGGGGACCTCATTTGTCTCCCTGAACCTTAGTGCAGATTTCAGAGAGAGAAATGGCCCTCAACAATACGTCCTTTCACCCCTATTAATGAAAGCAATGTCAGGTCAATGGACACAAATTTGTCTACTGCAAGCCCCTCACTATCAGTAAAAACATCCTCATGTGACACAAGCCATAGTTTTTCCTGATTTCTTAGACTGGGAAGGGTGGATAGAGAGAACGATCCATGGGTTTTCCAGCTTTTTGTGTAGTGCTTTTCCCGCTATGAGGACAAGTCAGATTTTTTCATTTTGCTGCATATAAAATGCAAGAAGATCTGCAAAAATAAACGGAGAGAATTGGGATGGGAATGACTGAAAATATTTGCAACTGTCCAAAAACCATAGGGAGAAGTGTTTATTGCTAAGACAGAAGGGATGGTGAAGTGACGGCATCACAGCCATTTAGTCCCTGTGGAGCCTACCACAGGCTGAATGGAGAACTGGCAAATAGCTCAGCATCTTCTGGAGTGTGTCCTGAAAGCCAGCAGCCATCCTTGCTATCTGTTTCTGGCATTATACCTCTCAAGAAAGACATCGCTTCAGTTTCTATTCATCCAGCTTTTCCAGTGTGTTGCAATAGAACAGGTTCTCAAGACTCCAAAGATGGGCTGGATTCACTGTATCCAACCTTTGCCTTTAACCCCAACACCAATCACTGCTCCAAAATTTATGGACCAAGATAGTGAAGTGGCTTGACTCAAAGTAGTATACCGGCCACAATAACTTTTACGTAGAAAACAAACTAGATAAGGCCTTACTTGTCAATGGATGAGGCCCCCAGGAATTAATTCGAAGGGTGTCAGAGCTGGAATCCAGAAACCCTTGTACCTTTATTCAACCATTTTTCTATTATTTATTCATCCATTTCTCTATTATCGGCCATTCCATTTTTTTTCCTTCTGTTTGCCTGTAAAAGTGGTAGTAGATAATATGCATCCTTATGAACTTGTATTGTTTTCTATAGGATAGCCACAAACTGGGGCACTGCGTCAAAGGGCATTGAAAATGATGCATATTTTAAATTGTAATAGTTGTGGTGAGATTACTAGACAAAAGAGTTTAGCAGTCCACCCGCCAGCCAACCTTACCTGAGGGCAGATATCCCAGCATCCTCACCAAGGGTCGCTCTTTTTAATTTTTGCCAATCTGATGGGTGGGGGAAAAGGCATGCTATTTTTTTAATTCCCATTTTTCAATGAGTGAGGTTGAACGTCATGTTTACAAATATGAACCGCCTCTTCACAGCTGTTGGCCAATTTTATCGGAATTATATATTTTTTCTTATTTCTAGGAGCAGGCTGAATAGAAATATTAATGTTCTTTTATCGATGCTGTAAAATCAATTTTTCTAGACTCTCATTTGATTCGAGGTGATTTTTGCCATTCAAAACGTTTAAATTCGGATACAAACATTTTTATTCTTTACGGTTTTGAGATTTCAAATCTTGCTTGAGAAAGTCCCTTCTACCCCCAGACTATAAAATATTCTCCTCAAGTGTATTTAATCCTCTGTTTTATTCTTCCGTTGAGATCGTTTATCGACTGGGATTTATTTTTGCCTAGAGCATGAGGCAGGAGTCAGAATAATTCAATTATTCAATAGTGAGGCATACAAAGAGCTAGAACAAAAGCAAACTGAGAGGGGGCGAAGCAGCGGTGAATGCTCGACTCTACTGCAGGTATTTATACAAGCAGGATTAAGGTCAGATCTTGGAAGCATTTCCGGTACAGGTTTAAAGTGTCAGCGGGTGAGAGCGACTAGTCAGGCAGCAAGTCTAGTATTTTATGCTTCCGCTCCCTAATGTCCTCGGGATGATCAGATGGTTTCCCGTCTAGGAACGCTGGATACAGTGCCTCTCCGCGCCTCCAGCCCTGAAATATCTACCAGCCCACTGAGAAAGTAGCGTACTCAGGCCACTTAACATTCCAAACTGTCACAGGCAAACACTCCGGCGACGAGAACCGCCCCACGGCAAAAAACCGGCAAGCGCGACGACGCTTTGCGCATGCGCGCTCTGCGGGTGTTGCCAATCGCCCCGAGCGCTGTTCAGCAAGTTCCGTCGTCCAGACGGCGGCGCATGCGCAGCCCCGGTTCCCGTAGGCTCTGCGCGTCTCTGTAGGTCGGCGTCGAGCGCGGGGAGCTCTGGGAAGATGGCGGGGGTGGGCATGGCGGCTGTGGCCGCTCGGCTGCCTCTTTGCAGGTGGGGCCGGGCGCCCATCTCCTTCGGCTTTCACCGTGGTGTCAGCGCGTTACTTGCCCAGAACCCCGAGTGGGCGCCACGGGGGCTCCCAGGTCAGTGTCCGAAAGGCGGGAGTAGGACGCGTTCTTTGGAACACCCCGGGTTCCGTCCGTCCCTGTCTAGGGTTTCTGGCGCCCCATTCAGAAATGCGCTGCCCCCTTCTCGGGACCCCGGTTCTGTGCTCTCTCGGCGGTTCTGGCGCGGACGGTGAGGGGGGCTGTGCCGCGGGCCCGGGCGTCCTGGACTGCGCGCCCCGCCGGCGCTTTCGGCTCAGCAGCCGGAGCAGCCTGCTCTGCCCGCCGCCCCTGCAGTGGGCGCCAACGTTGATTATCAGTTGCTCTTGCTTTCCTTTCTCTGCGGGTTCTCAGGGGTTTACAGATTGTGACTCTGTGTGAAGGTGCTTAGACCTACCCTCCCTTAACTTGAGGGAATTTACAATATGAACATTTTCTTTGTAAAAGTGTAGACGCCGTCATTAAGCCTAAAGCCAAGTTTTGTCTTCTCGATGCTCCCGGTCCAGTGAAAACGTTAATCATTACTCTACAAAGGAAATGAGAATTTGAACCCCATATCAGAGCACCTGAATATTTTCTCTATCTTGTGTTTGATTCTTCCCCGTCCCACCCTACCCACCTTCACCCTCCCATATATATAGTATTTCTGAATTACCTCCTTGTATTTTGGGATTTTGTTGTGTTCACACCCTTGCCACACGGTTGTCAGATGCATAGAATGGAAATTGTCATTGCAGATACCCTTTGTTTTGTGTTAAAAATTGTAAACGTATGTAATCAGTTTAACTTAGGTTTAATTGTACACAACCAAAAGGCGTGTTATATATATGTTCCTCTGGCAAAGTATAGTGTGTCAATTCATTAACTAGAGTATAATACTCCATCTGTTTAGCAAACATTCATTAAGCACGTAATGGCCCAGGCTTTGAACTAATCTTTATAACACAAATAATCATTTATGGATATAATGTTTAGAACCTGACCGCTTATAACTCACCAAAATTAAATAAATTGTAATTGACTCAGGGAGAAATTCCTGCGCTGCAAGTAGTATCGAGAAGAGGATAGGAAGGATTTTTTGAGTGCTGAGCTAAGATACAGGGAGTGGACATTTTTGCTGATACAATCTGCCAACCAACATAACTGGCTCCTGCTGACCCTGTTTTTCACTGAAAGTTTTTAAATATGGCATATTTCACTATATATTGAAACTTTGAAACAAGCTTACATGTAAAAGGGATAGATGTAAGGCCTTCAATTCAGTTTTTCAAAAATCAACTTCTCAAATACAAAATGAGGAAAACTTCAGCAGCTCAAATGGAGGAGTCTGAGGAGCCTTCATTAGCCACAGTAAAGTGGAAGGAGGTTTCCTGTAAATAAAAGAAGAGATTTTGGTGGTCCAGAAAAAGACTGTAAGGAAATACACAAACTAATTTCTTTGGAAGGAGGAGGTGGGAGTAGAAATGACTGTTTTTAAAATATTTTTCTGCTTTTTTTAGGAGCAAGAATTGATTTTATGGTAGGGAAAGAACTTTAGAAACAATGAAATGGAGTAACCTTTTAAGGTTTACCGGTTGTGCTGTTGTACTTAAATTGTACTAAGATTTGTGTGTACCATTCACAAAAAGCCAAACCAACAAATAAAACGCAGTGATTGCAGAGTCCTATGAGAAATCTTTTTCCAAAAATGATACTATCATATATCTATACAAGGTTACTTTTGAAGAAACTACGCACTGAACCCACCTCAGCTGATACAGAATCATAATTGGCTATTACCACGGGCCATGATTTTGTGGGTGGAGAGGGAGTCAGTAATAAAAGGGTCACAGCACATCCCCCTTTGAAACAATTTCCCAAGGGCAGATCAAACTTGTTTCTCCCCCTCCCCGCCAAAAAGTAGAAGATGTGAAACTCCTCAAACATTAAAAAAATGAAAAACAAGACAAAAATCTCACAAGAGAAAGCTGAAACTAATGTAGGTGAATCTGAATGTTGATTGATACTATTTAGGGCAGATGATTTAGCAGCAACAGGAAAACATTCGTGACAAGTCTCTGTCTTCTGTTACCTTGAAACTTCCACCTCATTGTGTATTTTGGAAGAATCAAGATTGGACCTTGCTCAAAAAAGGTACAGATTTTACCAAGATTTTAAAAGATAATCATGCACAGACTTAAGTTTAATGCTTCATCTGTTTTTGTTTTTCCTATGAAATGGAAATAGTATTTGACATCAATTCGATGAGTTAAGAAAGTTAAGATTGAAAATATATATGGTTTTCCAAAACCCGTATTTGCAAACTAGTTTATTTTTTGTGTACTTTGTTTAGCTTGCAGACAAAAGACATCAATCTCTTTCCTTAGTCGACCAGACCTTCCAAACCTGGCTTATAAGAGGCTAAAAGGCAAAAGTCCGGGAGTTATCTTCATCCCTGGCTATATTTCTAATATGAATGGTACAAAAGCATTGGCAATTGAGGAGTTTTGCAAATCTCTTGGTCACGCCTATATAAGGTAGGAACAACACATTTCACAGAAAATATTACTGCCATTTAGCGTGGCAATATCAAAGACTTCCGCTCTAACCAGTTGAAGCAAATGCCAACATTTTCATAGATTGATATATTTTAATGCTTTGTAAATTTTCATCTTGTGATTTAAGGTTCTTGTAAATAATAAGTAAGGTTCTTTAAAATGACAATAAACCAATATAGTAGTTGGCTTTCTTGTAATTATTTTGTGGTTTTCCATTGGGGACTTAGGATTTTTATTTGACTATTTTCTTAGTTTTAGGATACATAGTTTAAGATAATATATGTATTTAAAAGTATTATAAAATCAATATTGTATAATTCACATTTCTACTGAGTTTTCTCTTTCTCACTCCTGTAATCTGAATATGTATAAGCATAAATAGGGATATGTGTTGTTTAACTAAAATTTGACTTCACAATTCCTGATATTTTGTGTTGAAAATTATTTTAGTAAAATGACGTGTTTACGTTGTTGTTATTAGGTTTGTTTACATATAACAACCACTTATTTAGTGCTTAATTTGCCAGAAGAGATAGTATGGTTTAGTAGAAAGAGCACTGGCTTAGAATTCAAGAAAGATGTGTTCTAGAATTAATTCTGGCAATAACTGTGACAAGATGAATCTGTTAATAAACCCTGGACCTATTTTCTTCATCGTAAAAAAGGAGGAGATGGGACTAAAGATAATCTGAATTCTTTTCTAGCACTAACAGCCTGAAAGTCTGTTCATCTAAGTTGTTAGGAGTTTCACTAATATTCACTCATTAGGTCTAGAAAATACAACTTTAGAAATAAAATAATAAATATAAGTGAAAATAAAATAACTTTTAGACTTTATTTGTTCAAGATATTAGAAGAAATTATGTCACGTATATGGATCTAGTCATATCTTTTTTCAAATTAACTGAATTATTTCATTTTCATGCTTAGAACTCTTAAAAATCTGTTTTGAGCCGTTATAGTAAAGACTGGGGTATCTTTTGCAAGTAGACTTTCTAGCAGTATACTGGGTGCTGTGAAATATACAAAGAATTATAAAACATGGTCATTGCCCTTAAGGGTCTTTTAATCAGGGTGGGAAAACACAAGATAAAATATGTATGGGAAATCAGGCCAAGATACTCATCAGAATGGGACTGTGTCAAAAGAGAAGTGTGCTTATTTGTAGATGGTGAGAGAAAACTGGGGGTCGAAGTGGATAGAAAAGACTTATAAAGGAACACTGAAGAATAGTTAGGATTTGGCTAAGAAGGAGGAGCTATCCAGGAAGGGGAACTAGCCTGAGCAAAACATGATAATATCAGAAAAATTACCAGCATTCTCCTTTTTTGTCCCCAAAAGAATTTGAATTTCAAGAAATTGCCGTTTTACCAGGTCTTGAATTTGAATTGAGACTATGAGAACTATAACCAGTTCCTGTCCCCCTATAAGACACCTATGGGTTTTTTGCATCTTGGATACATATGAAAATTCATTTTCTTTTTAAAGGTGTATTTAATAATCGTGATGAAATTATAATAGGCACAGACTATTAAGTAGTGCTGTATTAAAATGTAGCCTAAGTCAATCTTGTAAATCCTTATAAAATAAAGCCCTTCACTGCAAATTTTTAATTTGGTCAAGTTCCTCTTTATTTGCTTTTATCAAACTTCATTGCAATCTAATCACTATTAACTATTGATTGCATTTTCGCTTGTTATAAGAGATTTTATCTTCTATTTATACTCCGATTTCTCAGTTTACTTTTGTTGTGATTTTGGCTATAAAATTTAGATCTTGAATGAGGAAATGGTTAATTTTGTATACAAGAAATAGTACATATGGCTATATGAAAATGGTCTCCTAATGTTCTGTCACCATGCCTGAAATAAGATTGAGTCAGAGCTCGGGAATATGGCACATGGCTTTAGGGCTGCTATTCTCTCATAATTATTTCTAATAGAATTTTAAATTCTAGATTTGGGAATATGTCCCAGAGTATTGAGGCTGCTAGGATAGAGTTGTGTTACTGTATTTAAAGGTCCTGAACTGCTGAATGTGTTTGAATTGTCTTTGTCTCTTGGTTAGGGTTCAACAAGAATGAACTATATTTTTTACTTGTAGCCTATTAGTATCACTGAGTGTTTATATTTTCTTTTTGAAGGGGCTTTACCTGTGTTTTACGTCTTCACCATGTATTTGGAAGGCAAATGTAAAGGATGCAGCAAGTAGAGATGCCCGTTTGCCCACTAAAGGGGAGGAAAAGAGAGTTAGCCGGGCCTTTCTCCCTTCTTCTCCCCAGTCCATCTTCTATCCTACATCCCTGTGTTGAGGAGAAACGATAACTGGGTTAGACTTCAGCAGCTGCCTTGTTACACTGTTTCCCAAGGATCCAAAATCATTTCACTTCGTATCTCTAAGAAAATATGTATACACTATATATCACATATGTCTTCGCATATCTATGCGAAAAACATGGAATTTATAGCTTTTACCAGGTTTAAGAATCAGAAAAACATGAAAGCTTTAAACTTGAATAAAGTAATTCTTTTTACTTTTACTTTCCACTTCTGTGCATTTAGTATGTATTATAATAGTGTGTGCGGTTTACATGCCTAGCCACTATGAAGAAGGCAAGGACAAAATAACACAAGAATAAGACAATAAGATTCCCCTCCAGAGTCTTACAGTCTCATAGGAATGATGAGACACATGTATACACATGACTGTCTTAGAGAGCAGGATATAATAAATTAATTGTGACTGATAAAAATGAATTCTATAGATATTTCATTAAGTAGAGATTTATTTTTTCAATCTGTCTGGGAAGCCTTTCCAGCAAGAAAAGGTTCATTTGGACTAAGCTCTAGAAAGAGGATATTAGAAATGTAGGTGAGGAGAGAAGGTATTCCAGGTGAAGGAATTAGATGAGGTGTGAAACAGAGATAGAAAACATAGAGCCTGTTTTAGGAACATGTTGATCAATTTGGCAAAAGCAATAGTTTCCTCTGATGAAGTGATAAAAGGTCAGTGAGACGACCAGAATACAGTGGTGTAAAAAGACAGGCTAAAGCACTAAACTTTTGTGTTGTATGTCACAGGGAGCCATTGAACATAATGCCATATCAATATAGTGTTTCAGAAAAAACCTGACAGGTATAAAGTGGACCCATTTGGAGAAAAAACAGAGTCCTGGCGACACGGTTAGAAGATAGGCTGGGTTTCAGATGACAGAGATACTGGTCTTAACCAAATTGAAGAGAAAGGGGTGAACATGAGAAGAAATGAGAGTGAGTGAGGATGGTACAGGGCAGGCAGTGTGCTATACCCTAGAGAAAAAACTTGAATGAAACAGTCTGCCCTTGAAGAACTGACTTTCTAGTCAGAGGGAGACAGATATTTAAAACTGGATTACAATACACGATATGAAAAGTGTTAATTGAGTACATACAAAAGAAAGTGACTGACTGCTACTAAACAGGCATCTATGTCCAAGTACTCAGACGAGGTGGCGTGGCTTCAGGGATGACTAGGAGTTTGGGTGGGGAAGGAAGGTTTTCTAGGCAGTGGAGTGGCATGCAGAGGCTCAAAGTTGTGACAGGGCTTGTCCAGGAGTTGGAAGTAGTTCCCTGTGACTGGGGTTTAGGGTAATCTGCAGGACTGGTATGATGCTTCATGGTTTGTTGAGTTGAGTCTTGAAGGAGAAGTAAAACTCATAGATGAGACAGATTGTGAGCATAGAGAACTAGGAAGTTGGAAGGAGAAGCAAACTTAAGTGGATGGGCTGGTGATGATGGATTTGATTCTGGTCTCTTTCCCTTCTGTTAAATTTGCAATGTACTGACCTGGGCACTGGGAAAACAGTGGTAAACAAAACGAAGTCTGTGTGAATATGGAGCTTCCATTCTAGTGTGGGAGACAGACCACAAATGAATAATCTAATATATATAACGTCAAGTTCAACATTTGCTGTGAAGAAAATAAAACAGGGTAGGAAATAGAGAATGATGAAAGAAGCACAGTTTTAGGTTGAGTGGTCAGAGCAGGCTTCTCTGGGGAGGTAACATTTGAGCCGAAGGCCTGAATGAAGAGAGGAGCCATCTAAGTGGATATCTGGAGGTAGCGTATTCCGTGTAGGGGGAAAAGCTGATGTAAAACTCCTGGGGCAGGAACATGGGGGGTGTATTCTAGTAAATTCAAGAAGGAAAGTGAGGATACAATTGGGAGGGAGAGAGAGAGCAGTAAGAAATGAGGTCAGAGAGGTAGTCAGGGGCCAGCGTATGATAAGGACTTTGGATTTTACTTAAAGATTTCAGAAAGCCTTTGGAGGGTTTGTGGCAAGACATGATTTTTGTTGTCAAAGGATCCCTGACTACTATGGGGGGAAACAGGGAGACCCATTAGGAGACTGTTGCATTAGTGCAGTCAAGAGAGGACAGTGACTTGGACCAGGCTGGCAGCAGTGGAGGAGGTGAGAAAGTGAGTGGTTCTAGGAAATGTTTGAAGCTTAAGCCAGTAGGATTTGCTGAAATATATGTTGACTTCAGTGTTTTATTTTAATATGTTTTAGGCATTGTAATAATTAATGTGCTACCTTCCTTCAAAATCGGAGAAACAAGCATATGGGTAGATACCTAGATACAGGTCTGTGTTTTCCGTTTTTCCAGGTTTGATTACTCAGGAGTTGGAAATTCAGATGGTAACTTAGAAGAATGCACAGTGGGAAGATGGAGAAAAGATGTTCTTTCTATAATTGATGACTTAGCTGTAGGACCACAGGTGACTATTTTTGTTAAATATGATAATTGTTGACTAATCTCTTGATATTTGAGCTGTTTCTTTGGATACAAAAGTTTATTTAATATTTTAAATTTAACAGTTTTGATATTTGATTTAAACTTATTCTATTTTCACTTTCTCATAAAATGTACCATTTTACTTTTCATTTTACAAATTTTATTTGTATAATTCTTTATTGTAAACCTAATTAGCAAAAAGTAATCATAATTCTAACTCCACTTTGTGCAGAATGTTAAAAATCTGGGAGCCAATGGTATAAAAGAAAAAAAGTACATACAGTCTATTAAATTACTCCCCTTAGAGGAAAAAAAAAAGAAATTCCTCTTTAAAACTATCTATATTTTTATTTTTAGATACTAGTTGGATCTAGCCTCGGTGGATGGCTTATGCTTCATGCTGCGATTGCACGGCCGCAGAAGGTAGTTGCCCTTATTGGTGTAGCTACAGCTGTAGATGGCCTGGTGACACAGTTTAATCAGCTTCCTGTTGAGGTAAGTCACAGGCAGCCTCAGTGTGTACCTCCTATCAGTCTTCTGCTCCTCCTTTCTTTGAACATTTGTTCATTTGTCATCTGCCCTTTGACTTAATACTGGCCCATCTTCTGCGTCCGCTGCCTTTTTGTAACTGTGTCTTTTTGTAACTATTTCTATCTTGTAACTATCGTATGTACCTCTTTGCCTTAACTATTTGGTCTCTTGTTTAAGGTTTCCTTTTCTTCACAGTCCCTTCAAATCATTCTGCCAAATATTTGAGCCACATTGATGAAATCACACTTTGTCTCCTTTTTTTAGCAAAATTTTCTTTATTGATCACATTTCCTTATTTGGATCATACATCATGATCTCTTTTTGTACCTCTTATTCTTATTTGGTGGCATGTTGGAAATAGTACCTATTCTTAGGACCATGTTAGACTGAGCTAAGCAATTATGAAACTTTTTTTTAGTCTGAAAGCCTCAGAGCCTCCCTGAGCCGAGCCCTCCAAGCCCACACTCAGTCAGCCAGAATTAGCACACAGGAGGTGAGATTTGCCATTCCTGGCTCACACACTTAGTTGGCACACTTTTCCTACTTCTATTCTCACCTTTAAAAAAAGAAAAAGTGCTTTTCATTATTAGCATGTTCTTCAGTAAATCATGGTGGAAATGAGGTTTCTGAAATAACTGTGAAGGTAATTAGTTTATTATACTTTACTATTGGACATATGTTTAAGCACTTCAGTTGTCTGAAAGCATAAAGGAATAGCTGTTTGTTGTATATGTTATTTTTTGTGTTTTGCAATCTGTTGAGTTCTCCTTGGGCATACTTTTTCTAGGTATCTAAATTTCACCTGTGGAACTAGATCCTGAAAAGCCTGAGACCCAGAAAATTAAAGAAAGAAACAGTCTAGAGCAGTGGTTCAAAAAGTGTAGTTCACAGGCAGCAGCAGCAGCATCACCTGAGAACTTGTTTGAAATGCGTATTCTTTTTTTTTTTTTTTTAAAAGATTGGCACCTGAGCTAACAACTGTTGGCAGTCTTCTTTTTTTTTTTTTTCTGCTTTATCTTCCCAAACCCCCCGTACATAGTTGTATGTCTTAGTTGCAGGTCCTTCTAGTTGTGGGATGTGGGACGCTGCCTCAACGTGGCCTGACGAGCGGTGCCATGTCTGCGCCCGGGATCTGAACCCTGGGCCGCCGCAGCGGAGCACGCGAACTTAAACCACTTGGCCACGTAGCCAGCCCCCGAAATGCATATTCTTGACTCAGAGACTGGGACTGCGGCCCAGCAGTCTGTTTTAACAAGCCCCTCAGGTGAAGTGTGAGAACCACTGCTCCAGAGTAGGGGAGCAGGAGGAGGAGGAAAAGCAATAAACAGAAGGAAGAGTGTGTGTGTAGTGTTGAATAGTAGAATGTCATTGCCTTTTTTTTTTTTTAAAGATTTTATTTTTCCCTTTTTCTCCCCAAAGCTCCCCGGTACACAGTTGTATATTCTTCGTTGTGGGTCCTTCTAGTTGTGGCATGTGGGACGCTGCCTCAGCGTGGTTTGATGAGCAGTGCCATGTCCGCGCCCAGGATTCGAACTGACGAAACACTGGGCCGCCTGCACCGGATCGCACGAACTTAACCACTCGGCCACGGGGCCAGCCCCGAATGTCATTGCCTTTTGCCTCGAGTTCTGCATTGACCAGTGCCATATATTGTATCTGTGCTATGTTTATTCTTAGTTCACCTTCTTGCTGGCTCCTTCAGCAGTGACGTTGTCTGCATAGTCACGTTCTTCATATGATTTCCTCTCAGGGCTAAAATTACAAAGCTAGTCTTCCTTGCACTTATCTCCTATTTCTGATTTTGTTTCACTTTCTCACTTGTTTCTCATACGTAGTTGCTCAGTGTCCTCATGCTGCTAAATTTTTCTGCCACTGACTCTTTCTGCCTCTAAACCTTGGACCCCTTGCTCCATCCTCTAACTCAGGTGCTTCTCATGGTAGGAAATTATTTGAAGAACATATGGCAGATTGGAAAGGAATTGATTAAACAATTTTTTTTCGGTTATGGGAAATGACAAGATCTATGAACATTTCTTTTATGTGCGTGTATCCACATCGCTCAGAGGGAGGATGTGGGAGATACCCACTAAATACCCGCTAAGTGACTGAGAAGATCTGTAGCCTGCAAATCAGGGCATATCTTTGCTATTCCTAAATCAGACCAGCAAATGGTTGTTAAAAGAAACATGTTGAGTCCTTGTTAACTTAAAAGCATGTGTAAGAAAAGAGGGACACTCAGACCACTATCTCTTCTTCTCCACACAAACAGATAGCCCTGACGGTGTCAAGTGAGCAGAAATGGAGATTTTTTACTGTCTTCTTTAGCCCTGGGAATGTTAAGACCCAGCATTTATCATTGTGCAGGAACTCGACTAACCTGACTCTGATCATTGTCTCCTTTGGTCACTAGAGGGCGTCAGACAGGATGCGCAGCTGTTTGGAATCCAAGCTTTTCAACAGTGTTGCCTTGATACAGTTCTTCTTAGTGTAGAACTTATGTATATTTTCTTTGGTTAATGCTTTTTTTTTTTGCTGTTTATGAACTTTTTGTTTTTGAGGGTTTGGGACATATAACATTTTTTAAAGTTAAATTTTTTCTCCAAATGGACAATATTCATTCAATTCAGTGGCAGATAACAGAGCTACCTGGGGGGCGAGGAGGCATAAAATGCAACAATTATGAACTGGGTCCAAGTAATTAGCATAGTTCCCACTTCATCTAATAACCAGTGAAACTAAGTTTTAATTACTGAAATTACAAATTCAAGAACAGTCCTGAGTAGTTTGAGGATATCTGAATATCATTTTTGCTTTAAATATTTGGTTCACATGTTGTTTTAATGCAGAGAACCCTATGTTAAGATTTCATAAATTTTCTAGTTTTTTAGAATTTCATTAATTTCAAATCATTTGGAGACATATTTAGAAGTATAGCTTTGAGACATACAGCTTTTTCACTGAATCAGTAAATCTTTTTGGAATTTTAAAAAATGCATTAAAAGGTCTAAATATATATAGATTATAGTGTGCTATTTTACTGTTTAAATTCTGTTTGCCTTTTCCTATTTGCAATATATTACAATTTTAAACATGGAAAAAATCATAATATCTTTATTGAAAATTTAAATACACAATTTTCAAATCTGTTATCTGTGGTGCGTGTGTGTGTGAGCTAACATCTGTGCCGGTCTTCCTATTTTTTATGTGGGACACTGCCGTAGCATGACTCGACAAGTGGTGCTGGGTCTGCGCTCGGGATCCCAGCCTTTGAACCCCAGGCTGCCGAAGCAGAGCCATGAACTTAAGCCCTGTGCCACTGGGCCAGCCCTTGTTATGTGTGACTTTTTTTCTTTTGTTTTTGGTAAGATGTCCACCTGTTTTTCTAGTCAGAAATGCCCTTCATGTTATATGGTTTCAGGAGTCTTAAAACTATTTACATCTTGGTTTATTAGTTTAAGTTCTGATAATCTTTCCAAAGAATTTATTAAATACAGATAAACCTTTATGCTCCGAGGGGTTCATGGACATATCTAGCAGTGCAGGAATAGTCAAGTTAATTATCTTAGGTCAATTACAGTGGACTATTATGCAGCCTTTAAAAACTTCTCATGGAATTTTTTAAAACCCAGAAGTATGTGTATTAAATGAGTAACATGGCATAGGAAATGAGAGATAAATGTGTAAAAGATATGTATTTTAAATATTTTATATATATATAAAATATATATATACACACACATATATATAAACCAAATACATAATAGAAAAATACTGGAAGAAAATAAGCCAGAATATTAATGGTTGTTATATCCACGAGGTAGGATTATGGGTGATCTATTTCTTTTTATACTTTTTATATCTCCCTTATTTTCTATAATGAGTATGTTACTTTAATTAGAAAAATTGTTTAAGATAAATTCTAATCTACATAAAAAATTCTTCAAGAATCAAAAGATACCCAATGTTTAATTTTAAGGAAATAAGTAGACATAACATTGTTCGGTTTACAGGAAGTATTTATCATCCAAAACAACAAGCACATTTTTTTTCTCATTCCATAGGATTCTGGAAGGCACAAACTACACATTTTTTGCGTTGAGCCTGAACTTGCATGTGTTTGATTGTTCCAGAGTCACCACTGGCTTATTTTGCATGTTTAGTTCTGTGCTGGACTCTTCTCCTTTTCCTCCTGCCCCATCCTCTTCAGTAACTTCTTATGTAGGTGCTTTTAGTTTTATGACTTTAAAACCTAAACAGTTTTTACTTCTAAGATTTAATTTCATATAATAAAAATGATACCTGGCTTGATCCTAAGGCCTTATTTATTTGTCTCCCTTCATTTTTCCTTTCTGTTGGGATGAAGCAACATCTGATTTAAGATGTTACCTGGTAAAGTTCAGTCAATCTAAGTTTGAATCCTAGCCACAACAGTTACTGCCTTTCACCTTTGAACATGTTACTTACCTTCTCTCAACTTTGATATTCTCTTTTGTAAAAATGATATAATAACAGAATTATTATCAGGATCTTATGAGATAATACGTGTAAAATACTTGTCACAGCACCTTGCACACAGTATTTAATTATGGATAATTATTGTTATTACATTTTTGTTGTCTCTTTTCCTCAAGGATTGTTTTCCTTCACTTAAGACTATTCCATGTGTTTATGTTGCATTAAAACTTTTATTTTCCTCACTTTTCCCAATAGGTAAAAAAGGAAATAGAGATGAAAGGCGTGTGGGCCATGCCATCAAAATACAGTGAAGAAGGAGTGTATCACATTCGGTACAGTTTCATTAAAGAAGCTGAGCACCACTGCTTGTTACACAGCCCCATTCCTGTGAACTGCCCTATCCGATTGCTCCATGGCATGAAGGACGACATCGTCCCCTGGCATACGTCCCTGCAGGTTGCTGACCGAGTAGTCAGCACAGACGTGGATGTCATCCTCCGAAAACATAGTGATCACCGAATGAAGGAAAAAGCAGACATTCAACTTCTTGTTTACACTATTGATGACTTAATTGATAAACTCTCAACTGTAGTTAACTAGAAGCACATTTTTAGTTGGTATGTAGACTAATGGATCCAGAAGATTGCAAGAGGATAACAAATGAAAGACCCTGATACTTAAAAGGTTTTTTCCTCTTCTCTCTGGTAAATATCACCTATTTATTTAATAATGTATTTGCACAAGTGATACAAATTGTGAAGGAAGTATCAGCTGCTGTTAGGAAAATTTTCTCCTTCCTGCAATCCTTGATTTTTTTTTTTCATGAAAATATTTCCTATTTTTTTATTAAGAAGATGTTTACCTTCTAATGCTTATGTTAACCATGCCAGCTCTTGTGTTCTCTTCTACTTAGAATTGTTAATAAAGCTTGAATTTTTTGGTTTTTGCTTGGTATCACTGTATATGGAGATTTGTAAAATTCTGATTTTAAAATGCAGTTTACAAAATATAGGAAAATGTTTATTGAAATCTGAAATGACTTGAGAAATGTCTGAAGCATAATAAAGTTCAGAAAATAAGGATATTACTTTATATATTATATCCTACATGTTATATTTGAGCTTAAAATTAAGGTTATCCTTTTTTAAAGGCTCCAAACTTTACAGTGATATAAAGGAGCCGTATCATTTCTAACTTTTGGCTCATATGTCATATATTTAAATGGAATTTCCTCTTAAACAATGAGGTATTTTCATATTTCATAGAGGAAATTTATCTTTCTCCATTATTAGCTACCTGCAGAAGTGTTCCTTTTTTATTAATATGTGCCTTCAGTACAAATAGTCAAGTGTTTACCCACCCAAGTCAGAGAACTTTCTACAGTGCAGAGATAGTAAGAAAAGATGAGATGCAAATATAAAGGTTTTAAATAACTGAACTTGTGCAGTAATCAGTCTTGATAATCAGTATTGAGTTGGTGTTTTCTAACTTGTCATTTTGGCTGAACTTTCTTTAGCCCACTTAAGTTATGTCTGTCAAAGTAAAACTTCTTTAAGTTGACAACATGACATACATATATATGTATATATCTATATCTATAATGAGCATATGTCAAAGATTTATTAAACTTCTTAGGGAATCGACAGATGGTAAACCTGAGTCAGAGGACAATTCAAGAAACGTAGGTATCGAAGAAAGAGTGTTGGGATGAGATTCCCGTGCTGAGAAGAGCTAGCATGGGAGGCCCGACTGCTTATCCTCAGAGAGGCCTGCTGACAAGGTCAGCCCTTGGCTGGTGTCTGCGAACTTGGATTTTAGGAGCATTCCACCATTCCCAGAACCAGTAAAAGTGGCTCACTCTGTCTCAACTGTCTGTACAAACAGTGTCGTCAGTGCCACACACCTGTTCTCCTGGGAGTCTGGATTTGGGTAGGTGCCAGGCAGGGCCTGCCTCAGTGACCAGCTCCCAGTACAAACTGGGCGCTGAGTCTCCCAAAGCCTCCTTGGTGGACAGCATTTCACATGTGCTGTCACAGCTCACACGGGAGTCAAGCTCAACCCATGCCACTCCACTGGGCGAGAATCTTGGAAGCTTGTGCCTGGGTTTCCCGGACTTCACCCCACAGGCCGTTTTCCTTTGCGATTTTGCTTTGTATCCTTTCACTAATAAATCATTGCTGTGAGTGGAACTATGTGCTGAGTCCTGTGAGTCCTCCTGACAAATCATCAAACCTGGGAGTGGTCCCTGACATATAAAACAGGTTAGTATACAGGGCAATAATAGTACAATCTCTGAGTTACCTTTTATACCAAACAAAAGGCACAGATCAAAAATATGTGAATCATCTGTGTGTACCATGGCGCCTGGTGCCAGACAGGGTTGTTAGAGGATGGCAGGGTGGCCAGTCTCTGCCCAGACGCTGCCAGGCATGACCTTTAGAAAGATGAAGAGGAAAGGGCCCCTGCCCATGAGGGTTTTCTAAGGTTGGCCATAATTACAATAAAATGTCATAAATATCATTAGAGGTTCATAGCATACCTGTAGAGGCACTGTAGTACAGTGCTTGGGGACAGAGACTCGAGCTTGCGTTTAAATCCTGGCTTGCCATTTACTAGCCTTGTGACTGAGCAATTTACTTCACCTCCTTGAGGTTTCCTCATCTGTAAAATGTCATAACATAAACCTAGTTGATCATAAGGGTCAAGTAAGCACAACGAGTCTGGAACAATGACACATGGGAGTCACTGTCTTTTCGCTTTTATTTTTGTTATGCACAGAGCACACAGTCCAGTGAGAAACTGATGGTCAATCAATTCATGGAGGTTCAGGAAGGAAAGTGGAGGCAAGGAAGTGGGTCTGGCTTCTAACGCTGAGCTGGGTCGGACCTTCCTAACCTCAGGATCCCTTGTGGGATATCCTTTCAAATGTTCAATGGTTAGAAAAAGCCACAGAGGAGGCAACTTCTCTATCTAAAGACAGGAAAAGCTGTTTTAAAATTTAATCTAGCTCTGCAGGGGGTAACATCACAAATTCCAAATGTTAGAATCAGTGAGATTTAGTATATTCTAGTACATTAGTTATTTTAGTGTTCTTTTCTATTTTCCCCTAAAGCTCTTTTTTTCTAAAACCACTCCATGCCGTGTATTCAGTGACATGGAAAACCCTTGGACAGCCAGCAGCCCCTGAGTGCCTTATCCTCTGGAACTCCTGCTTGCTTTTAAAAAGCAGCACGACCCCCTCTAAACAATCTCAGCCAGCGCAATGGAAAGGAACGAGGGAATGCCAATGGAAAGGAAGGCTCAGTGAGGCCACATTCTGTGTTTGCTTTTGCTGCATCTACTGAGCTTAGAGGCATTTCCAGACACAAATCTAAACAGTATGCTGTTCTCTGAGTGGCCAATGGAAAGGTCTGTGTGGAGGAGGGGCAGAAAAGAGCTTTGAGCTATGCCTTGCTGTGGCCCCTGCTCTGCCACAGTATCCTCTCCAGAACCGGGAACTCAGTCATTCACTAAAAGCACCCCAGCTGTTTGATTACAATGGAAGGAAATCTTTGGGTATAAAAGATCTGCAAAACACAGTCTACGGAAAAAAAAAAAAAAAACAGAAATGCAAATGTACATCTTTAAGAATTGTTTCTGGCTTTATCTAACAAATCAATACCTTCCATAGAGCCGTTCCAGGCCTGGAGAAAGTAACATGCTTCCTGTGTGGGTCTCCATTTTCTTAGTCCCACGTTGGAACTGACCTTATTGCTGCCACCCAAGATGCAACTCAGTGACTTCCAAAATTCTGCTGACAATATCCCGGCTCCAAACTCTTCCCCTAAGCTGCACGTCTCTGGAGACAGTTCTGCTGTCTTTAGAGCTTCTTCAATGGACGATTCCACGCAGCATGGAGACCTGCATTAGTCAGCCCTTCGCCTGTGGTTTCTAAACCTACTGCTCTCTCCCAAAGGCTCTGATTCTCTCACACCCTTTGTTTTTCACCGAGTTCTCTCTCCTAGGCCTGCAACTACTGACCACTAAGTCTTCTCTCAGGCAAACCACCCATACATCTGCTAAGTAATTAAATTTTCACTAGTCCAGGCCCCAGCCAGCAGGAGATTTTTCTCAATGCATGTATTATTTCAGGAATCATTTCCTGCATAACTTGTAATCAGTTTCCCACTGGGAGAAAGATCATCTCACATACTGGAATTGCTTTATCTAACGAGCCTGAATCAATTGACCAATCCGCTCCAGGGACAAGAATTATATTTTATTCCTCTCCAGCACAGTGAGTGGTTCGCACAATTAAGCACTCAAAAAATACTTGTGATTGAAGCAAAGGACAAATTTTGGGGTATTTGTGTCATGAAAAGTATCAAGAGTTGGACACAACACCAATGAGACTCACTCTTTACCCCTAAGTGGCTTACAGCTAGGAGGACACACTGCCAAGCCCTTCGGGATTTATAAAAATTTCAGACCGACCTAGGTCCAGTGGCTTCTCCTGAGGTCTAGTTCGCTGATACTAAATCTTCAGTTAACCACTGACAGCATGTCAGTCGTGACTTTGTGGTCCTTAATTATAAACTGATGAAATCTTTACACTCTTTCAAAACCTTTCAATCCAAGAGTTCTTAGCACATTGAGCTGTTCAATTTATGAAACTTGATCTTAGTGTCTGTTGATTAAAAATAGCATTAAAAAGCTACATTCCTTGAATAGGTCAAACTGAGGCACAACAGTTTCCCACCAGGATGGAAGTTTCCGGAACAAACCCGGCTGGCAGCTGAACAAGTTAATGGTTGCAGCTCTCAGCCCCTCCCCTCCCGCCTCGCCAAACAACTGTTACCTCCGGGCAGGGGGAAAGTGGTTTGGCAACTCCCGACAGATGGACAGCTGACAGAATGGACCCTCCTCAGGCCCCATCCCCCCTGCAGCTGTGTGCTGGCCCTGCATACAATCGGCCGTCTCCCCCAGAGGAGGGGAAAGAATTGTGCAGCTGAAAAAGAGGCTCTCAGCGGGAGGGAGGTGGGCGGGCTTGACTGACACCCCAGAGGGCTGGCTTTTTGGACGGCTCTTAGCAACGGCCCTGATTTGACCCTCCTCAGCCGGGAGAAAATCGAATCAGTGTACCCTTCTCCCAGGCGCCATGCAGCATCAGCAACTGAACGTCAAGGCGGCCTTCCTCCCTGCCTGTTAATTACCTGCTCTTTCCCATCTCAAGGGTCCTGCCCTTGCAAAGCGCTACTAGAGGAGGGAAGAAACGACCATCACCCAGCCCCCCTGCGGCCTGGGGGTTCAGCCTTGATTGTGAGTCCTGTACATCATCTCGTCTCATTGATAAGCGGGACCGAGACGGGGGTTCCAGCCCCCCGGGACCGGCAGGGGCTTTATTCTAGAGTCACCGGCGCGTGTCTGCGCTTTTCTTTCCCGTTTGTAGGTGAACCCCCAGTGGCTTCATTGGCTCCTTGATTTAAACCACGCCCGGCTTTCTGCCCGCTTTGCCGCTGCTGGGCCAGGCGGCCCAGCCACATCCCAGCCGCGTTCGCAGGGAGCCGGCGCTGCTGCGCTATTGTGTGGATGCCGCGCGTGTCCTCTCTTCTCTTGCAGAGATGGCTAACCGGGGCCCGAGCTACGGCTTAAGCCGAGAGGTGCAGGAGAAGATCGAGCAGAAGTACGACGCGGACCTGGAGAACAAGCTGGTGGACTGGATCATCCTACAGTGCGCCGAGGACATTGAGCACCCTCCTCCCGGCAGGGCCCATTTTCAGAAATGGTTAATGGACGGGACGGTAAGGCCAGCAGCGGTCTCGGTTGGGGTCGGCGGGCTGGAAGCCCTCCGGGGCCTTTCCTGGGGACGTGAGGCTGCGGGAGGAGGTGCTGCTGCCAAGCCCCGTGTCTCACGGGGAAGGAACGGGAAAGCCTTATTTCCTTGGAGTCGGGAGACCTGGGCTCCCCGCACAATTGCCTAACTAGCTTAGAGGATTCTCCACCCATCCGAGACATCGCCGCTTCTAATGAGTTGTTGACAAATCCGAAGCCCTTTTGCTCTTTCTAGTGAGAATAAAGATAAGTATTTCCTTGAGATCTCTCCAGCCCTCTTGGTGCACCAGCTCGTCTGGGGCCATTCCCCGCCCAGGGGAATAGTTTCACTACATAGTAAAACAAAGAAAGAGGTGGGGAAGGAACTAACCACCTTCCATCCTTCCCGGAGCCACGCTCCCTGGGGGTGCTCAGCGTCTGTTGGATGGATGGGTTCTCATGAAACTGAAGAGAATCCTTATTTGATACCTGCTTTTCTGACCAGATGGTCCTGTGGTTTGGGGAGCTGGGGATGGCCCTGACAATTCAAACAAGCCGGTCTTTTCCCGCAGGCTGTGATTTTCTGTTACGTAACTGCTATTCCCTACTTTTGTGGGGTTGCCCAGGGCTTGGGTTATAGGGATCTGGGAGGAGGGTACCCAGTTCTGTTCTTTTACATGTTATTAGCACATATAGGATGAGTTATTGAAGCCTGATTCTGATCTGCCTTTTGATAGAAGACATAACATTAGACTCTATCATTTGACCTTTCCGAGAGCCACTAACTCCTGCCTCCATTGGAAGTCTGCAGTCATGGCCTCCCAAACACGCATCCTTCCCTAGCTGTCACGTCTTTCCTTCCCGCAGAGAAAGGAAGGGAGGAGCAAGGAGGGAAGGGCATTCTCAGGCTACTGGACTCACTGGGGCCAGGAGCAGCCCCGGGAATGGGGTCGCCTGGGTCTTTTGGGCTCAGTATGGAAACTCGGCCCCCCAGCCCTGAGCCCATGCCTTCCTACGCCCAAACCTGTGAGCTGTGTCCCCTGAGAGCCAGGATTCCCTTTGCATTAGTGATGGGTAAAGACAAATGGAAACACTGATTTTGTCTCCCCTGTCTCCCTTCAGGTCCTGTGCAAGCTGATAAACAGTTTATACCCACCAGGACAAGAGCCCATTCCCAAGATCTCAGAGTCAAAGATGGCTTTTAAGCAGATGGAGCAAATCTCCCAGTTTCTGAAAGCTGCGGAGATCTACGGCGTCAGGACCACTGATATTTTTCAGACGGTGGATCTCTGGGAAGGTAAACAGTGCTCGTGCCTTTGCGATTGTTCTCCCCCCCTCCCTCCCCTTCACCCATCTCTTTGTGAAACCTGCTCACAGTGTTCTTCCCTGTGCCTCTGTGTGTGTGTGTGTGTGTGTTTGTGTGTATGAGCACACACATGTGTTTGTGTGGTGGGGGCAGGGGAGCATCAGCTGTCACCCCAGGGGCACTGTTAGCCTCCCTCTCTGTGAGTACCCTCCTCTAAGGGTACTCACACCCTGGGACACAGTGGAGACCTCAGCCAACTAACACATAAACAGAAGCCCCCACGGAGAGGAAGCTAAAATGGTTACACGGATGCCTTTCATTCCTGTTACCCCTCCCACAGGAACAAATGACAGCTACTGGAAGATGGGGGAAGGGGGGCAAGTGTGCTTCTGACTCACCAGCCGTGGGGCTTATAGACAAAACCACCTGGTATGATTTTGTCATTCAGTCTAAGAAATAAATAGCACCCCAACCTTTTATTAAAGTATTATCTGAGAGCTTGGTGACCATGCCTTCCAGAAAGGTATTCTGCTCAGGGAATGTGACAAATGATTTTTTTGTTTGTTTTTTTGTTCACATTTATGAATTGACTTGATTAAGAAATCTTACGAAGCGAAATAAAGTCACCTTTCTGGATGTATTTAACAATCCACTATTATTGGGGAAAAGTACGTGAACGGAGACACTGCCAGAGAATTTGGGACTTAGCATACCCCTGAGCCCAAATGCGTGCCCATCCTTGCAGCTGCTCCACACTCAGCCTGCCTGGGCACCAGGAGATGCAGACCAGTCCTCGCAGGACTGCCAGGTTGAGTCTGCTCTCTCGTGCTCATTGTCACTGGCTGTCATCAGTGGCCCAGCCCTTAGGGGCAGTGACCCAAATGACTCTGCTGACCGTGGGAATGGGGTAGCTTTCCTGTGATCAAGAGACAATGGTATTTTAAGAGGTATTCAGATGGTAGCTGAAATAGATTTATAGCAGATGACCATTCTACTAAACAATTTATAGAGAAACAGTTGCCTCCTTAATCCTCCCACTCCCCTGTGGCAGGCAGAGAGCTGGCCTTTCCTGTTCACCCATGAGTGGTTACAATGCTGAGATGCCAGTCAGTTTACCTTGTGTTTGCCATTACTTAGAAACTCAGATAGCCAAAGCCTCAGGCTGGGCCGTTGGACTTCATGGACACTTGCCTCCAAATCCCCATGTCTTGTCACAGCTGAGACTTGCTCCCTGCTTTTAGATCAAAACTGTGATGATTTTCCCCAGCTAATAAAGACAGCTACTGCTTATTGATATTTTCCCATACACTAGGCATGGTACAAGTGCTTTACTGCATAATGCCAATCAATGCTCCTAACAATCCTATGAGGTGAGTGTTTTTAATTTCCCCATTTCATAGATGATGAAAGTGAAGCTCGCCTGTGATTACTCGTGTACCTGATACGGCTGTCCAGTAATTAGCAGAGCTAAACCTCAAACCCAGGCTCTCTGATGCCAAAGGACAGGGCCTTACCTAGTCTGCCATCCATGCTTTGTCCAGGAGGCTGCATCCTTCCCCTGCATGGTGCATGTGCTGTTGAGTCATAAGGGTGACTGATGAGGATGGAGGGCAGGAAGAGGAGGACTCAGGGCTAGAGCCCCTGCACTAGGAGTTTGTGTGAATGGAAGGGGCCCCATGAGACCCCTCAAGTACAGGAAGTGTGTAGGAGGAAGGAACTGGGAGGTGGGTGGGAGGCGGGGATCCCGAGGGTGCTTTCCTGTCTTTACATTACTGAGGATGTTTCACTTGCCTTTCCCCTTTTTCCAAAGACCACGCAGGTGAACTTTCCACCCAGAAGCTGCTGGCAGTGAGGGGGGAGGGGTGTAGGGAGCAATGGCCCCTGATAGAGCAGGAGGAGGTCTACACCGCCTGCCCAGCCCTGGGTGTTAGTCACCTGTTAGGGAAGTAGGAGGTTGAGGGACATGAGTGTGACTGTGTCTGAGAGAGGGTGGCGGACAGATGGGCTCCAGGGTGGGATAATGCTTCTGAAAGAAGGGAACAAGGCAGACACTGAGGGCTCTCATCCCCAGGGCAAGAAGGATGGGGCTTTAAAGGAAATAAGGAAGGAGACTCACTCCAAGGGTGCTGGACTGACCTGCTATAGGTAGGGCATGCAGTAGGTGGGGATAGCCGGCAATAGGAAAGCAGATGCTTGGGAGTGTCCAAATGGCCTCTAGGGGCCCCAGGGCCTGGTGGTCTCATCCATGGAGTAGCATCTGAGGACTGAGGTTCAGGGAGATTCATTCCAAGCGTTGGAGAGAATGCTTGTCATCTCCCAGGATCACTGCCTGAGGCTCAGGCCAGAGCAGGTTACAATATAGTAGAGCAGGAGGTGGGAAGGTGGGTTGCTTTGAGCAGAGAAAAGGGAAGGGGGGTGGCCTTGAGTAAGTCCAGCAGTGAGACCCTGGGAACAGCAGCATGGACTGAGTGAGCGAGGCTGGGTCCTTTCTGCAGAGCTGGTTGTCGCCCCTGAGTTTGGGCATGAGTAAGCTGCAATTAGAGGGATGCTGCAGGGTGGGGTTGGCGTGTGTCTGTGTGCAGGGGAGGATGTACATGTTTGTGCACACAGCTTTTGGACTAGCCATTTGCTTAGCTTAGTCCCGCCTTCTCCCTACTATTCCACCCCCTGACTGCGGTTTTCCGTTCACTCACATTCATTTCCGATTCCGTGCACCGAGGTTGTGGTGGCTGTGGCTGCTGTGGGTCCAGCCCTCCTTGCTTCTCTTCCTCCTCTGCAGGCATTTTACGCTCTGCAGCTCTCAGTCCCCTGTCTTCCTGCTGGGCATCTTCCCAAGTAGGGCTCTGCTTGCCCACGGCTGCCCAGTGACTCCATGCTGCTCTTACGTCGCAGATAAATCAAGCTGAGGGATCCCTGGCTCGCAAAACACCTTCTCTTTTAGGCCTTAATCAGTTAGACAGGCAGAGGCCCCAGAAGTACCCACTATCCTGAAATCCCTTTTAGATGCAAGGTAAATATTTGGAGTAGACTCAGGAGCATCCAGAATAAAAGATTCAGGGGTTTAAAAAGGAACCCAGGGCTGAACGGTCCAGAAAACAACCCTACCACAGGGACAGTGTAGACAAAGCTACTGAAGTTCCCCTGAGAGAAGCTGGGAGGGACCAGTCCTTTCAGTGATGGGGAAGAAGTGAGTGCTGCTTCCAGCGATGGAAGACGATGGGGAAAGTCTTGCTCTTGGATGAGAGAAGGTGAATGCCTGGCAGGTTGCTTTTGGATTTGCCATGGGTGCGGGCAAAGGGCTGGGGTGGGGCCATCTCAGCTCTCTGTGACTCAGAGGAGAGGTGCTGGAGGACACTTCAGCATCATTTCTGTGGAGGGAAAGGGAAGGATAGAAAAGGAAGGGCCAGAAAAGGAGGGGTGTGTGCAATTGTGTGTAAGAGAGAGAGAACACGCGAGAGCCTCTGTGTGTGCTGGTCAGAAAGACTGCAGAGAAAGCTCAACCTGGAAGGCAGTAGAGCGCGGGCTCTGGAGTCAGAAATTCGACTGCCCGGTCACACCTCTGTGCCACCACTTAGCAGTTAGCTTTTCTAAGCTGTGATTTTCTCAGCTGTCAAATGGGGATAATAGTACCTATTTCACAGGGTAGATATGGGAAGTCAATGAGATAATGCATTAAAAGTGCTGAGCCTACTGCCTGGCAATGGTGGAGCATAATAAATGCTGGCAGTGTAACAAGTACTGTAGTCATTGGCCTGTCTTTTTTAAAACTAATAGAAAATGAGGACAGCAGGAGCAAGGCTGGAAAGGCACTTATTCTGTCTTGGAACAAATGGACAGAAGCCGATAGGGTTGCCTGGATGACCTCTGCCCTCTCTGTCATCTGGGATCCCTTCACCTCATCGGCCATTCTCCCATACGGAGGGCTGGCTTTGTGGGTCACCTTACTGACTTTTTTCCACCTCGTGATCATTACTCTTGATGTCTTTCCATCGTATATTGCTTTGCCAATTCCAGACTCAGAAGATCTGGGAAAAGCAGAAAGAGGATGAGTTTTGGAGTCAGGTAGATGGGCTGACACTCTTCCCTAGGACATCCTAGCTGTGTGACCTTGGTTAAGCTGCTTAGCTTCTCAGAGCCTCAGTTCCCTTCTCTGTCAACCAGTCTAGCACCTCCCTCGGAGGGTTCTTGTAAGGATTAAACATGTAAAATGCCTGGCTCAATTCCTGGCAGATAGACACCTAATAAATGTTGGCTTATTTCTCCCTCCTAAATACTATACATATTGTTATATACATAATATCAATGTTACATATGTGCTCATCCGCAACTAACCCTTTTGGTTCCTTTGCATGACCACGTGGCCAGCATAGACATGTAGAATTCTAGAATCTCAGAACAGGCCGGACTCAAAGATCAATCACATCTGACTACTCTTCTCAGTAGTCCTACCGACAAGGATCCTGGACACCTGGTTTTGTCTTGCCTCCCTGTTCCCCCTCGTTGATGACTGGGAGTTAGAGAGGTAAACCCGTTAGAGATATAAACCATCGGGGCTGGAGTGCCTGGAAGGTCCAAACGTATTCTCTGGAGAGGTGTCACTGTATGTGTCATTCCTCAACAGCAAGAGGAAGAGACGTTTCACCCAAGTGGAGAGACGTTTTGGGATATTGTGACGTACTGTAGTGACTTGAGATGTCACAAATGCCGGCCGCTTGAAGCCTCCTTTTCTGTCGGAACAGCCTTCCCAGCCTTTACGCCAAGTGCTTCTCACAGTAGGAAGGAAGGTTCTTCCTTCCGCCGTGTTCTCAAACACCAGTGTGCCTCAGAATCACCGGGAAGGCTTGTTAGAACACAGATTGCCAGACTCCAGTCCCAGTGTTTCTGAGGTGTTAAGTCTGAGGCAGGGCCTAGGAATTTGCATCGCCTGCTTCTGCTGGTCTGGGAACCCCACTTTGAGAACCACTTCCGTGGAGAGTTTATCCCGAGAGGAAAGCAACGAAAATTCATAAACCCACAGAGCAAGCCCAACCCACCCTCTGACATTTCTCCCTTGATTATAGCAATATTTTCTCTACGTTAAGTGGAGAATTGGGAGCTATGACTAAGATATCACTCAGGGAAATAAGAAATGGTTTCTTCATCCACTGATTGCTTTCTCCGTAAGTCCCAGAAAGTTGAAAAAGCCAGTATTCCAAGAATTACAAGCATGAGTCAAAACTGATAGAAAATGGAAGTAGCTCTGAAACAGAGTGTTGACTGTAAGGCTGTCAAAACTAAATACTAAATCTTTAATATTGAAAGTAGAGTCCAACCTGACTTTACCCCCCTAGATGACATCTCTCTGCTCTTTTTTCTTTCTCTTTATCCTTCTCTTTATTTTTTCTTCCCAAAGATGTGCATAAGATCTCACGAAAGTATAAAAAATTTAAGAGAACAATATCCCAGTTCAAGTATCTTTATGGGAACGATGCTCAAACTTTATGTCATTGAGAATCTCTGGGTTGGGGCAGGGGCTCCTTACAATGGCCCCCCTTGGTCCCACTCCCCAGAGATGATCATTGAGTAGTTTGGAGTGTAAGATCACGCTGGGGAAAACATCACTTCGTGATAATGCAGGAAACAGGGCATGCTGTATTGTCAAGCAGAAGTGTCAGTTGCTCTCTGAGACGCTCTCTGAAACCTTTGCCAGGCAAGACAAGGACAGCTCCTGAGCCATTGCCTCTTTTTACAACTTCCAGTCTAATATTAGCCTCCTCTCATGATAGGGGCCTGGAAGAGTCCAGGTAGCTGGATTGAAATTCTCAGCTGTTAGTGTGAATCTGGCTTCTCCTCTTTCATGTGTCATTTCCCTTCTTATAGCCGGTGGTCCCGTTTCTAGATTGCCACCAGGACTGAGTCTCGTTTCTGCTCTCCCGGCATCTGGATACTTCTCAGCATTTAGTTGGTACTTCTTTTAGGACCGTTCTTTTTTTTCTTGGAAGAACAGCCCTGAGCACTGGTTTTCAGGCTGTCTTGCCAAAGCATCTAGGGGTAGCTTTCAGGGAGCAAAGAGATTCCAAGTTGCCAGGGCTCTGATCTGGCTCCCAACTTGGATCGGAGCCCTTCTAATGATTGATTTTGCTATCGACTTTGTGGCAGAGCTCTCTGAAGAAAGGAGTTATTGCTTAACGCATATCATTTAGTACTTCCAGGGGCCAGACATTGAAGTTTTTAAAAACTGAAATCCAAAGTATTAGGGCAGTGCTTGACCACCCATCCGGCTGTATCAGACTCATGTCGGGAGATTGCTCCAGAATCTGAATTTTTAAGATTCTCAGGTAATTCTGATGATCAGTCTGGTTTGGGAGTCACCAGGTGAAACCCATGTTTCTCAAACTTGCCTGGTGGCATAAATCACCTGGGGAGCCTATTAAAAATATAAACTCCTAGGCCCCAATATAAACTGATTCAGGCCTGCCGAATCAGTCTCTCAGGAGAATGACCTCAAAATTTATATTTTTGAAGAGACACCCCACCCCATCTCATAAATAGTCCAAGAAGCCTGGGAAACCCTGCTCCGAAGCAGCCTGTGTTCTAGGCAGATGGTACACTTGGGTGGGATACCAGCAGTTTAACTTAAGTTGTGTTAAGCTGACACACTTCACAGATCTTCCTTACCCTCACTGCTCCTCCAGACGTTTAAATTTTTGACCCCCAGTTACAGGAATCAGCCTCCACAAAAGTGAACTGGCTCCAGAGACAGATTTCTGTTCAAAATGTTTAGAGTCTTGATGATAATTAACATGATCTGCACATCAGTGGGGGACTCTAGGCCCCAACTGCTTTTTCTTGCTTTAATCTTTTTTCTTCTCTTTTTTGGTGAGGAAGATTGGCCCTGAGCTAACATCTGTTGCCAATATATGTGGCATGTCACCATGGCTTGGCTTGACGAGCAGTGCTAGGTCCGCACCTGGGATCTGAACCTGCAAACCCCAGGCCACCAAAGTGGAGTGTGCAAACTTAACCGCTACACCAGTGGGCCAACCCTCTTGCTTTAATCTTATTTGGGTTGAGACCTGGAGAAATTATTCCAGACAAAAACACTCAAAGACTTACAGCCATTTGGGGTTGGTGCCCTTGACCTTGTGGGCCCCAAGAATTGTGCCCCAGTTTTATCTCCCTAGTGGATTCCCTCTGGCCTAGCACCAAAGCAGCCATCACCATCGCTTTGGGTCATCCCTGATCACTGAGGAATGTACCTCCCCAACCAACCTGCGATGGGGACCCATGGGAGATGGCAGGTGGCCTGGTGGGCTCTGCCAGCTTTGTGTTCAGACATTTGGGCTAGAGCCAGACTCTGGTTTACTCGTTGTGTGACTAGGGCACATTAATTAATCTTCTTGAATTAGTCTTCTCATCCATACATTGGGAGGAATAATATTAATTTTATGGAGTTGATATCATGTATAATAAAGTGACTAGCCTCTAATTTGTATCAAATCTCTTGTCTTGGGACCTTTCTCAAGGAAAACTTTCATTTTGTCAAAACAAAAAATTTGTTCCTGGGAAAAAGTGCCTCCTTTCCCAGCTTCTTTTGCTCCAATTATGTAATCGCCTCCTTTTCCTCTGTCTGGGATGAGGGCAAGTAGTATTTATAGTTCTCCATTCCTGGATATCTTCCTTTGCCCCCGACGTAGTTCCCTCCATCCTTTCTGGGTTCATGTGGTGTATACATGAGCCAGCTACTTGGGAAGGAGGCTGCGCATATGGTTTAACAGCACTGCTTCCGCGCCCACGGCTCTAGTGTAGCTTCTGGGGCTGAACTCCACGTGTGCCAGCCTCCAGATTGCCCCAGATCCTGGACAGACCAGACCTGCTCTTTCTGACCACTAGAAACAGATTTCCTGTGTGCTCTTTGTACAGAGTAGAGATGAGTGATATACCCTAACCTCTTAAGCCCTCGTGTGCTTGATCATTTCTCCAGGCTCTCTCTAATGACTCACTGCTTAAGAGCAAACCCTCTCCCTGTCTCTTCCAGAGTGAGCATTCAGAATGTCATCACTACTGTTCTATTAAAAAAGAGAAGGATCCCATTAGAGAGTGACATTTGCAGAAATGCCTCTCACCGGTGGAAGGGAAGAGTCCTTCTAACAACCACCTCTGCTTCCTCTCTCTTAATTCTCAGTATGCCTTGTGCCCGCCCCCTTCCATATGCTGCCCCGATACTCCATTCTGCACCACGCCAGCTGTCTCTTGAGTCTGGGGGGCACTCCATTGATGCGCCAGCTGTCTCTTGAGTCTCGGGGGCTCTCCACTGAGAGCATTTCATCCCTGTATCCATCAGCCAATCCCACAGAGCCTCAGCATCCAGGAAATCACCCTGTGGTTAATGGAGTGGAGGAGAGAGGTGAGGGAAGAAGTCTCTGCTGTCTCTCTCTCTCTCTCTGAATAAATGGACATCCTGAACTGGGCTTCCTCTGTGGGCCTTAATTGTTGACGTTGTTGGAGTCATGCTCCATTCTCATTTAGTGTCCGTCTTCCCCCTGGAATTCTGTATTCCTCAGTGACTGAGCTGCGGCAGCCAGGCTGGAGAGACCACAGATGCTTCACTCAGTCTGAAGATGGCCTTTTAATATTTGCCCTTAACTGTTGCAGCTCCCCTAGGCTGAATGAGGCCCTCCTTTCTAACCCTGAGCCCTTAGCTTTTGCACTCCACACTCGGGCCTTGCCTGGACCTGCGATCAGTTCTGAATTGCGGGCCTAACCACTTGGTAGGTCTTTCCCCGTGCAGGACAGTTCAGACAGCTGGAGGGAGGACAGGAGGAAGGCTGGAAGGAGCAGGCTGGCTTGTGGGGGCCACTTGCCTTCTCCATGGTTAAGGGTCCCCAGGCTCCTCAGGTTACTCCCCCTCCCAGTGTGTGAGGGGCACCACACACCTCTGTCCCCCTCCTCTTTCTCACACGCAAGCCAGTTATTTATTGTCTCCATTTAGCTCCTTTCAAGCAGCACAAAATAAGGGACCCACCATTTGTGTCACATCGAGTACTTTCTGCGTTGATTTACTTTTCTTCATTTGCCAGGCCTCCGGCCCAAATAGCCAAGTGAATACTCAATTTGATGCACGTGGGTGATTTTAGACCCTTCTAACCCGGAGAAAGTATGAGAAAGATGCCAGCTGGGGTTTGGCACAGTTAATGCATCCAGCCAGCTTCTCTCCAGTTTCCTTTTCTCTTTCCCGTCCTGTGGGAATTCCTCCTCTGCAGACCGCTAAGCCAGTGCCCCTTCAGGGCCTCCCCTGACCACAGCCTCTAGAACCCCCGAGGCCAGGCCTCTGCTCAGAGCAGGGACCTACGTACGTCGGAGCTGCTAAGTGTTGGAATGTTTTATTCAGACGGCCGCTGGGAATGGATGAGAGACTGGGTATCTCTGGTGTGTACCACATAGAGAAGAAATAGCCGGGTGATTCTTTGTTCCTTTCTCGGTCTTTTGGCCGTGGTTATCTTCAGGCCACTTTCAGAAGTATTTGATATCCTCTCCCTTGAATGTGATCTCCTACAGCCCCCATTAGAACTTCCTTCCCAAAGGTCCAGCCCCATTCTTGCAGATTCCTTGGTCCTGATGCAAGCTTTGCTTTTGTCTCTTCCTTGGCTTCCAGGGAAAGACATGGCAGCTGTGCAGAGGACCCTGATGGCTCTAGGCAGTGTCGCTGTCACCAAGGATGATGGCTGCTACCGGGGAGAGCCCTCCTGGTTTCACAGGTAAAAAGCCCTTCTGGCCCCCTGGAGCAGGATGAATATAACAGGAGGGAGCACCTGAAGCCTTGTAGCTCCCCAGAGGCTATTTCCACACACAGCCACTCAGAGCAAGCACTCCTGGCCCCACATTCAGTCCCCCAGAGCAAGGAAAGACCGAGGCTGCCTGCTGTTCAGGCCAACATCCCACCCACGGCAGAAACACTTGGGCCTTTCCTGCTAGATTCCTGGGTCCTCCAGCTCTGTTGCCCGATTCTGTTTCTCCTGAGACTGAACCGGACTGAGTGGCTTTTCTCAGAGGTGGCTGGATGTCTGAACTTGGTTTTTTTATGACCCAAGTAGCCTTGAATCTGCTTATTTATTTGTTTATTTTTGCTCTTAATGAAAGGAAAGTATGTCCTATTTGCCTGCAACAGTCCTGGTTAATGCCTGCTGTCCCAGCGTATGTATTAATAGCACTCCCTTTCACTCGCAGAAGTGGTCTGGTCTGGATAATAAAGTATATATGGTCATGTCAGTAAAGGGCCTTTCCTAAAGAGATTTGTGCTGTTGTTTCTTCCCCGGGGTGGGGGCAGCAAGGGTGCTTACGCTCCACCCAGTAGCTCAGGGGGAGAGGAAGAAAGAAGAGCATATGTAGCGGATACTTGACTCTTCATGTCCCTAATCTCTTTCCCTCTACTTGACAGTTATAAAAATCTACCAGCTTCTGTCATTTTAAATGAACCTGGTCTGAAAACCTCCTAGATATTGGCCAGTTTAGTCCCAGAATTATTAGTGATCTACCATGATCTATTTGGCCCACAACCAAATTAGAATTGTCCCTTCCTTAACTCCTAGGTCCCTCAGCTCTAAAATGGAGCATTAATCCTTGGCCCTCTACAGGGAAGAATGGAATGGGATTAACGACATGCTTTGTAAGAAGTTCTGATTTTAATTTCACAAGGGCTTGAGGTAGCTGTGAGAGAGAGGGTGACAGGAAAGCTGTCTGAGAGTGAAGTCCCCAGAGAGGCAGCCACTGATTCTTTGCTGGAAATCCTAGAAAACCATCTGGGCTTCTAAGGAGTAGAGAGCTCATGTATCTCAGTAGGGCCTGTTTGTGGTAGGGCCGTAGCTCAGGGTAGGACTAGAGCTCAGGATAGGGCCATAGCCCAGGGTAGGACCGTAACCCATGGTAGGGCCATAGCTTAGGGTAGGACCATAGCTCAGGGTAGGGCCATAGCTCAGGGTAGGGCCATACCCTAGGGTAGGGCCATAGCTCAGGGTGGGACGACAGCCCAGGGTTGCGCCACAGCCCAAGGTAGGCCCATAGCTCAGAGTAGGGCCATAGCCCATGTAGGACCATAGCTCAGGGTAGGGCCATAGCTCAGGGTAGGGCCACAGCCCAGGGTAGGCCCATAGCTCAGGGTAGGGCCATAGCCCATGTAGGCCCATAGCTCAGAGTAGGGCCATAGCCCATGTAGGACCATAGCTCAGGGTAGGGCCATAGCTCAGGGTAGGGCCACAGCCCAGGGTAGGCCCATAGCTCAGGGTAGGGCCATAGCCCATGTAGGACCATAGCTCAGGGTAGGGCCATAGCCCAGGGTAGGGCCATAGCTCAGGGTGGGACCATAGCCCAGGGTAGAACCATAGCTCAGGCCAGGTGCATAGCAGGACTCTAGTTCAGTATAGGGCTGCTCTTCTATTTGGTGTCCTCTAATAGAGCCTCTCTAACTGCGTATCTTGGGAAGGGTTTGATAACTGTCAGAATGACATTATTCCATCTCACTCCCTCTGGCCAGGAAAGCCCAGCAGAATCGGAGAGGATTTTCAGAGGAGCAGCTTCGCCAGGGACAGAACGTCATAGGCCTGCAGATGGGCAGCAACAAGGGAGCGTCCCAGGCAGGCATGACGGGATACGGGATGCCCAGGCAGATCATGTAGGACGCCGCATCCTGCCCCCTAGTCGAGAAGACAGCTGTTCACACCACGGTCTCGATGATAAAGAAATAAGTAGTCACCTTCTGACCTTCTCCTCTTTCTCAAAGCCTCCCGTCCCTGGTTGTTGCAAGTGCCGCATTTCTGCCGAGAATCCACGTTGCCTCCTGCTGCCACCTTCTGTTCATGTAGAACTATGCAAAGACTCCACTTCCTTCCTCTCCCAGAGCTCCTTCTGTGCCCTAGAGTCTCTGTTGGTTGGATTATTTATTTATTTATTTGCCACAAATGTCCCTCCTCAACTTATAGAACGCACCTAATAAACAAATTAGTCTTGTGTCTTAAAGTGTACAGTTCATTCTTTGTCTCAGGGTCTTTGCAGGCAGGGCTGGTTTTCATTTCATTTGAGAGGCCAGCAAGATGGGATTAAGCGTAAGCTATAACTGTAGAAATGTAGGTTAGCTTTCAGGAAACCCTTGCAAGGAAACCCTTATATTGACAATGCAGTAGAAAGTTTAGGAATAGTTTTGCCCATTCTGACAGCCTAACGCCATGAAGTCAAGAACAAGGTCTACTCTCTAGGGGACACAGGAAGGAGCAAGCCAAAGCCACTTCTTAAGGCGCTCTTGTCTGGATGGCCAGGCAGTGTCTGATGGATGGGCGGTTTTATCAAATGGATGGGGAGGAATTGTTGAGGGAAAGAGCAGTTTTCACTTCTCTAGCCATAATCTTCCCCCTCCAGGCCAGGCCCTGGGTCTCATGCGGACATTTATACAGTTTCTTCATCGGCCAGGAGTTATAAGCAATGTAGATTGCTCTCTTAGTCATTTATAGGGCTTAAACCCCTAAAACTCTTAGAGACCAGCTAAGACTGAGATCTGGGTAAGATGGGATAGGTTTTAAAGATTTTCTCATCCATAGAAAAATTAAGAAGGCAAATAAGCCTGGGGACCACAATTTGTCTTATTCTTTTCTACCAGTAGAAAGAACAACACAAAAATGATGCTTTTAGTAAGAAAAGAAATAAGGTCTGTTATCCATGTAATGAGTTGTTAATTAACAAGAAAAGGTAAAATGAATGAAACTACTATAGACTGCCACACTGCGAATGTTTGGGTGATGGTTTATCATACTGTTCTTTGCAGTTCTAGGATTCCCATGGAGGGCTGGGAGTGGCAGGGCCGCTGAGGGGGCAGAATCCTGGGTCCTCACTCCTGCTTTCAACCAGAGTGTCACTCATCTTATGTATTATCTACATAGGATTCATCATAAGATTTAAAAGACTTTTAATATATAAAAAAAAAACGCACAGTAAAAAAGAATTATACTAAAGGAAATTAGCCTGTGCATCATCTAAAGGACCTAATGTATCCTCCAGGAATCCTAGTGAAACCTCTGACAACCACTGGTGACTGATCCAGTCCTGGAAAGACGGCACATGAACATGGCAGCTGAATTCCTTCCTCAAACCTTACCTTGGAGCTGCCATGAAAGCAAGAGAGGGAGGTTGGCAGATCCCAACAAGTGAAATAAAACTGGGAGGAAATTCCTGGAGAGAGCTCGGAGGTGGTTAGTCCCTGTTTGCGATTAGGAGTGGAAAGCGTGGGAAATGGCCTCCATCAGCGAGTGGAGAGTTTTGGGAGAGAACTTTCAGGCTATGCCCGTTCTGTTCCCACGTTGCCCTGGCTCTACCACTGCTGTGCCAGATGCTAAGATGCAGAAAAACAGACAAAAACAGCTCAGAGCCAGAAGGAAGTTGCCTGCCAAACCTAGGCCAGCGCTAGGGGCCAGCTGCAGTGAGGAGCAGGGCATAAGAACACTGGTGCATGTGCCAGCACCTGGGCACTTCCTCCTCCCAACATTTTCCCACCCACCCCCTCAGGCTCCCACGCCCTCAGTCGCATCAGATGATGGCCACCTGGAGATGAGGTTGTTGAAAAATTGGAGGCCCTGGGACAGATATTTACCTGGAGTAGACAGGATTGAGGTAGGAGGCGACAGAATGGGAGAGCCCAGTTTGTAATTCCAAAGACTCTATGCCTCAATATATTTCCAGCTTTCAAAACTCACCAGAAGCGATCCAAGCTAGGGCCTGAGATCTTCCCCATTTCTCCACTTTGCATTTGCATCCACAGTTGCGGATAACCTCAGGGACATGTAAGCTCAGGCAGCAACTGGAAGGCTCCTGAGGAGTGTCAGTACCACTGTCACCACAAGACGCACTGGGCCATCCTTACTAGACGAAGCAGGATTCATGGAGGCAGACAGGAGAATCATTTAAAATTAGTCTAACAAATATATTAAAAATGATAAGGGAAAATTTTAGAAACATAAAGCAATAATCCATTATGAAGAAAAAATCAGCTGGAGATATGGAACATGAAAAACATAAATGAAATAAAGACTGGTAGTAAAGTGGATAAAAAGAACAAATTTATAAATTGGAATAGCAACACAAGGCACTCTGAAAAAAGGATAGGCACAAATAGATGGTAAATATGAAAAAAATGTTAAGTGATATGGGTCAAAAGTCATACAATTGAAATCTCAGAAGGAAAGGAAAAACATCAATGTAGGGGAGGAAAAATTTGAAGAAATAATTTTTAGAATTTCCCAGAATTAAATAAAAGACCCAAGAACTGAATTTTTAAAGACTTATAAGGTGCTAAAAAAGAAATGATAAGAGCTCTTAATGGAAAGCTTTATAGGGAAATGTATGCCCACTGAAAATAAGCACAAAACTCTCAAAGGCTTTAAAGAGTACAAGCTCATTACACATAAGAAAAAAGAATCAGATTAAGATTGGACTTGTCAGCAGGAAACTTGGATGCATAAAGTAATATTTTCAAGATGCTGAAGGAAAAAACAAATTGAACACACAATTTTTCATACAGCTAACTAATTTTTTAGTTAAAAGTGAAGCAGAAATACTCATCAAGACCCTCTTGAAAGTACAATTAGATTAAGTATCCCAGTAAGAAAAATCTATGAGCAGAAAAATGCTACTTGATACGGGCAATGAGGATAAGTTAGAAAATTTCATTCTTGTTTAAATAAACAAGGACTGAAAAATAGAGAAAAATTATAACAGTTCAAAACTAAAACTCTAGACAACACAGTCGGCCCTCCATATCCATGGGTTCTGCATTCAAAGATTCAACCAAGCATGGATCAGGAGACCTACGATGGCTGTGTCTGTACTGAACATGAACAGACTATTTTTTCTGTTAACAATACAGTATAACAGCTATTTACACAACATTTACATTGTGTTAGGTATTATAAGTAATCTAGAGATGATTTAAAGTATATGGGAGGATGTGTGTAGATTGTATGCAAATACTACACCATTTTATATAAGGGACTGGAGCATCCACTGATTTTGGTATCCGCGGGGGTCCTGGAACCACTCCTCGGCGGCAACGGAGGAATGACTGCATCAATATGGCATGTGTGGCCTGAGTAGAGAAGCACAGAAAAGCGACATAGGTGAGAATGTGCTAAGGAAAATGTCCTGTTTGGAGGAAGTACAGAGATATTGATAAGTTTAAGAAATTGTTAGGAAAAAACAAACATTGAACCCAACTCACTCATGAAGCTAATTTAACATCCAAAACCCAATGAGGGTGAGAAGAGAAAATTATAGATGATTTCGCTTGAGAACATAGATGTGAAAAATTCCCAATAAAATAATATCTAACCAATCCCAACGATGTATTTTAAACATCTGTTAGAATGACCCACTTTTTCTGTTTGAGAGAATTCTTTTTTTTCCTTTAACTGGATGGCCTCTTGGGAACCCACTTTCTCATAGAGCTAGCCAGGAGTGAAACTTGAACGTAATTTCCATTCCTTGCCTTTTCCTCTTCTAAAGTCATAGAGAGAACTCTTATTTCAAATTAGCAAAACTGTTGATTTCATCAGTCATTGAAGTGGAAATAATCCTCTTGACTTTGACTCTTTCATCACTATGGTAACTGTAAAGCACAAAGACAACATGTTTAAATTATGGGAGTATTACTGGCAGAAATGAGTAGATCGTTCTTGCAAGTTGTTTTGTATGCCTACTTCCCTTGGATGTTTTGAAGGCTAAATTTCCCCATGTAAACAGGCCATGGGCAGCTTCTTGAATGAGGCAAATCCAAGGCCATCTTTCTCTGGGCTTTGGTAATGCCCTCATGTTGTGCAGACGATGAATGTTGAAGGCCACTCCATCCCCTGAGTGAGATAAGACTCTCTGCTCCCAAGCACTGTTTAAGCACCTCTTCAAATGGTAGGTGCCAATTCTCGATAGTCTATTTACCCATTTCAGCTCCATAAGACAATCTAATGGTTTGATTGGATCCAGAGTACAGTCAAGTCCATTTTTTTTAGAGAACAACCTTTCTCCTCTCTCAAATTACAGACCTACTTAGCATGCCATGTATTCTATCTAATTACTAGCAGTGGTGACTGAGGCAGAGTAATCTCTAAATAGTCATTATGCAAACTCTGTGAATCCTCAAGGACACCGCTGTGCTATTACAGCCACTAGCTAGGGGGCCAACTGAATAGTTTTTATCTAGGCCTCTGGGGCTTAGCTTTTCTCCATGTGATGTTGGCATGATGTAAATTGTAGAAATGGGAATTTACCATCAAAACAGTCCTTTGCCATCAGGTGTATCCGACAAACAAAGCAAAGATAATTGAATATTTTCTAATATAATCCTTTCTGCAATATATGATTAAGTCAAAATTACCTTGTATTGTAAGAAGTGATTGTGACATAATCCATAATAGATGAGTCTCTCAGACAATTCTCCTTGGAAGCCCACAGTGATTCCAGATGTTAGTTTGTAGCTATTTTATTATCTTGCTATTGCTTTATTAATAACACAGATCTTAATATTTAGCATGCTTAATTTATTGACTTTCACTCTAGCTTCGAGGTATTTGTGCCTTGGGCCAGCGAGATAATTTCTCCTTTGTATATTTCAAAATAGATTTTTTTTTTTTGCCCCTTGATAAAACTTTGTAAAATATTCAAACAATTTGGGGAACTTGAAAGACCCTTATTCATCCTATTATCCGGGATAACCACGGCCCACAATTTAGTGCACCTGATCATATAATATTAAAATATATATATAACCAGCATAACATTTTTAGAATGTGTCCATCTCTATTATCTCTTGGCAGTAAACTAATTTCTCTTAGCTACAACCTGTCTACCATTAAAGCTTCATAGAAAGGAGGAGGGCAGATATTGTCTCAGGAAATACAAGGATGTGACTCATGGGGATGTCCCACAAGATAGGAAGAGGAAGCTGGTCCATTCTACATGGAAATAACTGAATAAATTTTCAT